TGTCATCTTTCATTTGTAACCTTTCCATCTTTTCCCACTTTTTCTTTTGGCTCACTGCCCTGCCCCATCATCAATTATATTAACAATGAAAACATAGAAATGTTTGTGTGAAACAATATTACTACTAGGAGGCCCTGATCTTTAAGTTGGTCTACTTTTGAACCATTTTAAAATAATGTTTGTTTCTTGTAGCAAAATCAGAAATATTTCAGAACGATGTCAGAGCAGCCAAAATACAAGCACAACTCGATAGCCATGTTCGGTAAGCAAAATAACCTTACTTTCTATCTTCCTTCCCCATAAAGTAAGCAGAATTCTGCAGCAAAATATCCTATACCCGCCCCCTCCCCCCCCCCAATCTCCTCTGTCATTGACATATAGACATACGAAATCAATGTACAGAAGTTAAGACTGGCCCAGCTGTTTTGGCATTTGGAACTGAACATCTCAAAAGCCTTAAATAACAAAACCTTTACCACTCTTTCGTGTTGTTCAAATCCATTTAGTTTGAGGTGGTGTCTTCAATCTTCTTGACATTAGAATTTCCTCTGTTACTCTAATCTGAAACCGTATCCTAAAATTTCTCTTCTTCTATTAGCATCCATGGTCAGGTATCGATGAGCTGGGAAGTTAAGGCAGACTCTTTTGCTAATGGAATAGAAATGTCTGGTGACATCCATTCAGATACTGCACTCAAAATGAATCTTTTGCTGGACATGCCACAAAACAGATTTAAAGTAGAACTTGATAATCTTCAGGAGCAGCCTAATACACTGATTTCAAGGTAGAAGAAGCTCTTTTATAATTTGTTTCATATCTTTTTGTCATGCTATCTACTGCATTATATAGGACTTTCATCTACTGTATACTGTAAACGTTATACATATACCTCAGTGATAGCTAACCATTTGGTGTAAGCCAAGAATTATGGCTGGGTACCTGTAGTGTGCTCTTTCGCTAAGTTTCTCAAACATTTTACTTTGTAACAATGTTCTTTCTGCTAGGTTTGATGAGAAATTATAAATATATATAATAATATTTATAAACATTTGATTCAGGCTATTAACTGTCTGGCCTAGTACCATAAAATGAACCACTGTTTTTTCCTCTATCCTTCTCTCCCTCTACTCCTGGATCTCAACAAGGAAAATTTCATCATACTATTTCATTCTCAGGATGCTTTGATGTTGAGTTTGTGTTCATGTTAACTTAGAGTATGTTAACTTACTGTGGAGTATATTAGAACACTAATATATTATTTCTCATTGAATTTCTACCTAGTCATAGAGCACAGGCTGTAGTAAGGTGCGGAAGTTTTATGGAAACAGCTGCAATTCTTCCCACACCAGTTGAAATTGAAGAGTGGGATGAAGAACCTGGCAAAGGCAACGTCAAAGTCAAAGTAAATATTGTGTTTCTTTTTGTGTGTCAACACTGATATTTGGTGGTCTATTGCACAGTTAAACTGTCTGATATAACTTCTCAAATAATGGCTACTTTTATTTTTGTAACATTATTTAGAAATCTTAACATAATTTTGTTTGTATCTAGGATTTTGTTATAGTTTCAACTTGTTCAAATACATGCTTTATTTAAACATAATGCTAAACAATTCATTTAGAACCACCTGAGAACAAGAACATTTGTCAAGCTATTGATAGTGTCTGTATAATGATATGATATGAACTTTGAAAAAGAAAACCAATTAAAATGCTAAATTCATCTTATTATAGAACTGTTTCTTAGAGAAGTATAATTGTCATACTTTTTCTATCCTAAACTTCTGTTAGCTTGGTAGCTCCAGTGACACAGAGCTGCCTTTTTTTAATCTCTCATATTGCCCATAAAGACCCCTCAACTTTTTATTATCTATGAGACTTAGGATTTTCTTTAACACCCAAGTTTAATCTTCTTCTTCACATATGTGTACTAGCAGGTTATTATTGCCAAATTCTGACGTGTCTATCTTCATTTCAGCAACAATCTCAAAGTAGCCAGAAACCTCAAGAGCGATGGGACAGTTGCTGGCCTCTAGCTTGGGTCCCGATAAACCTATGTGCAAGAACCATCAAGACAAAAGGATATGCGCCCTACCAGAATTCATTGTTACATATGTTGTGCAGTGAACATGAAATGAAGTTTTCGTATCAACCAGGTATTAATATGTGGTAAAATGTTTAGTTTGTATACTTGCAATTGTTCGTGCTGATCACTTTCTAAAATATGTACCTGCATTATAATCCATGCAGATCCTGGTTTGACTAAGATCCTAGTAGATGTCAACCTAGACTCTGCAAAAATTAGGATGAGAAGAGAACTGGAACCCGAAAATGAAGAACAACAACAACTGAAAGGAGAACAACAGGAGGTACGTATAACCCATGGAGGAAGAGCACATTTTATAAGGTCTAAGTTAGCTAGGTATGAAACAAGAGGTGTCATATTTATAATTTATTTGCTCAATTTCTATAGCTGCCCATCTCAGTCATTTGTGAAAGGTTCACTTTCTAAACGGATTTTGATAAATGAATTTTGTCCAATTCCACCTTCCCTCTATTAATAACACAGCAATTATGTGGTAGAATATTATAAGGAAGAAACTGTTAATTCCGAAGAAACTCTGAATTCTTAAGAACAACTTAAAAGAAATAATATTTTAACCTTCAACTGTGTTTTAGGCTGATATGAAAGATCAGAAGAGTCCAGAGCAGAGACGACTGAAGAAGCCAGGCCAGGATACCAAGCAGCCAGATCAGGACGCTGCCTCTTCTGTAGTGAAAAATGGGAAAGACAAAAATCAAGGTGGTATCAGCAGCAGCAGCAGTTCCACCTCCAGCAAGGACAGCAACAGCGAGGATACCAGTGAAAGCAGCAGCAGCAGCAGAAGCAGCGACAGCAAGGAGAGCAGCAGCAGCCAGTCCCAACAGAGTGGGATAAAGAGTTCTTCCCAGAGCCAGTCTAGTAAGAGTTCTTCCAGCAGCAGTGACAGCAGTGAAAGCAGCAGCGGCAGTGACAGCAGAGACAGCAGCAGTGACAGTAGCAGCAGCAGTGACAGTAGCAGCAGCAGCAGTGACAGTAGCAGCAGCAGCAGAGACAGCAGCAGTGACAGGAGCAGCAGCAGTGACAGTAGCAGCAGCAGCAGTGACAGCAGCAGTGACAGTAGCAGCAGCAGTGACAGTAGCAGTGACAGTAGCAGCAGCAGCAGTGACAGCAGCAGTGACAGTGGCAGCAGCAGTGACAGTAGCAGCAGCAGCAGTGACAGTAGCAGCAGCAGCAGTGACAGCAGCAGTGACAGCAGCAGTGACAGTAGCAGCAGCAGTGACAGTAGCAGCAGCAGCAGTGACAGCAGTAGCAGTAGCAGCAGTGACAGTGACAGCAGCAGCAGCAGCAGTGACAGCAGCAGCGACAGCAGCAGTAGCAGTAGCAGCAGTAGTGACAGCAGCAGTAAGAGCAGCGACAGTGAGGACAGTACCGTCGAGAGCAAAAGCAGTGAGAGCAGCAGTGAGTGCGATGACGTTGAGGAAAAGGTAATTATGATGTCATTTCTTTGAATATAGTTAATGGGAGCAAGAAGGCAAAGCCTGCTTCATTGAAGGAAATGTGTATAGCTGTATCCTTTCTGGCTAATGGGAATTACAAGTTGGCCAAGAGCTATGAGAGTCCATCTGACTTATGAAGGAATTCCCCAGCCATCTTGCTTGTTAGTCCTAGGTTCTGATCCCTGGAATTTGAAAGCTAAGCATTAGTTTACACGTGTATCAAATGGAGCTCACCCACAGAGATTTCAACACAATGTTATAAGGCATGGCATTTTGAAAGAAATCTTGACATCAAATAGGAAGGTTGGCGTCCATCATATTAGCTGGCTATTATGAAACTTTTGGTTGCCCATTGGGCTGATGATGGAGCACCAGAATAAGCAATTTTACCAACGAGTGTACCTGCATCTGAGTACACTAAATTCCACAAACGCAGAATGATAGAGAACAACAATGCACACTTAAAAGGAAACAAATTGTGTTGAAGTAACAACAAATGATGTGGTTGTGATTTCTGTTCATCTCTCATCATGCTGATTTGTCATCTGCTTTTGGGGGTATGAGAAATCAGCATTGGGTATTTAGTAATCTTGTCATCTGCAGTATTGGGTGTTTTGAATTAGCCCACAATGCAATTTCAGCAAGAGATAATAGTGCTTATAAATCAGTTATTTGGGAAAGCTTATAGTGATGGCATTGTTGTTATATCACTGAATATTCATTTTAAAAATAGCCTTTCTATCAAATATGGAAACTTTGAAAGCATCCCAAACTATTATTTTAGCCTTAAAAAGCAGCATTAATGA